AATTAATGGAGCATTGGGACTTCTGCACAACTCACATCTTACCTTGGAAGATTAGCAAAGTCCTAGACAGTTCCATTGAAGAACATTACTGAAAAGCAAGAGCTCCTACTTGCAAAGGTTCACAAATATGAACGTCTAAAGAGACCTTAGGAGGTAACCTATACTGAAAATATAACCAACAGATTTTGATCAACATTTGTAAAGAAATGACTGACTTTTGGATGACATTAGGCATCATGTGTTTTGGATTTTTTTCTGTTTGTATGGTGTCCTATGCTTGCTGTCTCTGCCATAAACTCCCCCCTAAAGACTGTCAGAGTATTAGGTACAGTGGAGAAAAGCCACAAAGAGTAAAAATGCTGCAGAATTACATTTCTGTGCAGAACATACAAGCATAAACACAAGTAGCACAAAAAATCCCCAAAAGAACTGCAGCATAACTTTGTGAAATAACTTAAATAATAATACCATCTATGGTAGTCAATGGTTGGTGTTAAATAGACGTTAATTTCTTTATTTCCTTTTTTTTCCTTTAAGTTTAAATCCAGATTTAGATCAACTTAATTGGCAAATATTACACTTTTATAAATTTTTCACATTTATTAAAGAAACTTATGGTGTTGTTCTCATTTATTTACTGTCTGATTTATAAAAAAGGGATTTAGCATGAGTCATATAAAATTATGTTTCAAAGTTCCTAAACACTTTCAACAGGCTAGACGATGTAAGGGCAGTTTGAAATGTTACTTCATTCATTCGAGACTTGACTGTATCTTGGAAAAAAAGGCTTTTTACACATTTCTAAAAAGGCAAGTTTATTGATGAAGCATATAAAAAAAAATGAAAAGAAGATCGCAATAGCATAAATGCAACACAAATATTAAAGAGAATGAAAATGATTTAAAAAAAAAATAAAAGGACACAATGGGCTGGAAATGTAAGTAATAATGTTGAAGTAGTGCCGTCAAATATCTCTCTGACCAAAAAGCATTTTAATCTCAATTTAAAGCAACTTGGCGTTTCAGCACTTTTTCAGTTTTCTGCGAGTTTATTCCAGATTAGTGGAGCGCAAGAACTAAAAGCTGATTCTGTTTTATGCCACATCTGCTGTGAAGTTGTGAGCTTATTTTGGTTTATTAAAAGCATCAGATTGGTTAACATGAAGCTGAGCTTTGTTTCCTTTTGCAAATAGAGGTAAAAAGTGGTTAGGCTTGCAATATAGACTATGACCACTACATTTGGAAGACGATTATTCTTTCTCACAGTTCTGGTCTTCTTAATTCAAGTTCTGTTCTGATGGTCTAACAAGCCCATTGCAACATGAATTGATAATTAATCTGCATGTTGGCTTAGGTAGCCAGTCTGCAGAAGGCTGTCTCAACAGACATGCTGTTCACCAACTTACTGTGCTTTTCAAATTGTTGCTATATTACCAGTCATGAATGGTTTTCCCTTTTTTTCACGCTATGAAATTCCTGCCAGTTTTTTTTTTTTCTCATAATTTTGAAATTGCATCTAGTCAACAACTGTCTTTAATATAACCCATAGAATATAACATTTGATAGAATAAAACAGGAGTATCCATATGAATTAAACCTGTGACCGCCCTCAAAATAGAAATGCTTAGGCTCTCTCTAAGACTGAGAGGAAGGTTGTAGGTGCCACCAGAAGGCATTTAATTTTACTGAGACGT